TTTATAACTCGGATGATCACCTACGCATCAGTTCATCATAGACGTTGCGGCCAATTAACCCGGCTGTTCTACAAAGGCAGTGGCGGTAGAATGTTGAGGGCGTTTAGTTCCCTCGCATCATTATCACTATCACCAGAGGCAACATCAGTTTTGACACTGATGCTTCACTGCCGTACAAAAATCGGGTTTATCTAATTATGTTCAAATCTTTAGAGTGAAAAGAAGAGAAAAAGAATGACGAAGGGTACCCAGTGCTGGCCTCTGTCAAGTATTTTAGGTGCATACACCTCCAAGCGCTCAATCGGACAATCTGGAAACTGTCAGCATGAACACCACTGAAATCGTTCTACCACCATTTCTTGCGCGGATGGGTTCACGGGAACCCCGTCGTAAAAGGGCGTATAACACTAGCAGCACAAACATCGTGATCTTTTTCACACCCTTCTACCAAATCATACGTTGTCCACCTCGCGGTTTTGGCCATTCTGAAGGAGGTAAATGGTGCTCCGGCACGCGTTGAACGTGACTGAGCCACCGCAGTTGATGGTGCTGGATGTTTTCCGAACTTGAAGTATCTCTTGCACAAACAAATACTCGTTTTCTAACCACCTCATTACTAATCCGTTGCCGCCATCCAAAAGCAGCAACGGCTCTGAGACATCAGTGGTCAAAAACCGCCTCACATCATCTGACTACAGAAGCCACATCTCGCAGCCACATAAAGACATCCTTTGCTGTAACCTGGTGCACGCGACCAAGTGATGTACCTTTTTGACGCCACAAAATACGCAAATTAGCATACGTGATTCTGGCGTTTGAGATAACTTTGAAGGTTCTAGGCGCACTCTGAAAGGCTGTATGACGTCCATTCAATAGGGCTTATGCTTCGCCTTGGTATTCGAAGATGTGGGCGATGTCTAGATCAAGAACGTTCCCACCAGGAACGATCTTCCATGGCTCGCCTAGCTTCATCTGTGAGAAAGTTGAAAAAGTTGAGAGAATGGACATCCTTGCCGGATTCCATTTTTTGTGGAGAAGTTTTTGGAAAGCTCATCATACATTCACATCCAGAAGTATGTGGATATAGGGACCGGGTTATGTTCACAAACATCTAGGACATGCCCTGTTGAACAAATGTGGTTGACGGCACTGACCAATCGGCAGAATCAAACGCACCTTTGAATTCAAGGCAGATCAAGATTTTGGGTCATCTATACATGTGGTGTTGTTCTAGCACTTGGCGGATTGTAAAGATGTGGTCAACGCAGCCTCTACCCAGTCGAAATCCCTCTTGGTTCTTACGAGTCAAAGTTTCGCGTGCCACCGCAAGACGACGAGGAATCAGTAATGCCAGAAGCCTTGTCACAACAGGCGTCACTTTAACTAACACCTCTGTGGTTATTACATTCACTGCTTGTACCGTTTTTGAAATAGGGCACTATTGTCGACTCACCCCAGTTGTCTAGGATGGTCCCTTTCTCACAGATGGACACAAGTAGGCTAGACATGCACTGACTGTAACATTTACCGCAATCTTTGAACATAGCAGGCCGAAAGTCGTCCGGGCCAGCAGCGCGACGCATGAGTAGAGGTATACACTTGGACACAATTCACCTTTCTATTGAAGGTCGGCAGTCCGGAGTGACGGTAGCAATTGGCCAACTAAGTAGCTGTGCGGAGTGTTGTGCCGAGCGGCCCAAACGTTCTCCTTTGTTGGATCTCGGAGAACCATTCTTGTACCTGATAGTTCCGTTTACAAGAGATTCCGAGGATCGATCTAACAAATCGAGTGGAACAACTTACGGACGTTTACATTTTTACCTCTTCCATTTCTTCGGCCTTTCAAGTCCACCAAGCTTCTTGGTCTCCATAGACACCTGGCTTCGGATGATGCGTCGGTTCGACTTTTGGCTGGGGTCTGGAGGGAGTGGGTTCTGAAAGTTTTCCTTGATTTCTGGGTCCACTAGCTCTCATTTGCTGAGTGAGGTGTGCACTGAAAAGCAGCAGCGCACAATTGCATGGTTGTAGTCCACGCTGGTGTTCCAGAAGGAGCGGCATGCGTTGATCAATCCTCGCGAAGGGTAACTGATTGCGATGCTGTATATGTGGATTCGGGACTGGTTCATTCATGGGCGCCAAGTCGTCAAACAACTTGTTCTGGAAATTGGTACTGGAAAGGAACGATTTGTGATCGGTACACATCTGAAGAAGACAATTTCCGTTGTCTATGCGTCTCGTATTCAGCTCAAGACGACGACCCAATCGGGGTTCAGGAGCGTCAAGTCTACCTACCTGGGCGTTCGTGTCACCAGCAACCACAAAATGATAGCTGAACTTCCAGCCCGTTGTAAGAGAGCACCTAGAGCGTCATAGAAACTGCCCTTGACAGATTTACAGCTACGGTGTGTTGGGCGCAAGCAGACACGATGTGCGACGGACCTAAATTTCTCGAGGTTCTCACAAGCTGCCAAATGAACCACGGAGAGCCATCTATCAACGGCTATCCACTCAAGTAGAGCCGCTTCCGCTGGTTCGCTCAATACACTATCCGGTTCAGGAGGTCAAGTCTACCTACCTGGGCGTTCGTGTCACCAGCAACCACAAAATGATAGCTGAACTTCCAGCCCGTTGTAAGATAGCACCTAGAGCGTCATAGAAACTGCCCTTGACAGATTTACAGCTACGGTGTGTTGGGCGCAAGCAGACACGATGTGCGACGGACCTAAATTTCTCGAGGTTCTCACAGGCTGCCAAATGAACCACGGAGAGCCATCTATCAACGGCTATCCACTCAAGTAGAGCCGCTTCCGCTGGTTCGCTCAATACACTATCCACATCGGCATATCCAGCTTTAATGGCCTCTACATCAACGGGGTGTGCAGCCGAAATCTGGTGGAGAGCGACGGGACAGTCAGTTCAATTACAGTACTTTCTGCTCGTGCATTCCGGTTCTTGGTAGTCTGTATCGGAGGTTTTGGGTCTTTGAGGGACGTCACTTCGTTCATTCCTTCATTTCAGGCCCTTCCAACCTGACCCGCAGAATTTGACAAATTCCCCATTTATTTCGCATTATGAATTCTCGAGGATGGCCATTGTCGGTAAGCGAAATTATTTAGAGGTTGTCGAAAACCTCCAATGCTTTGTTTTCATCACACACATGTAAGTTGTAGAGAAACAAATCCATATTCAGGAACATGTAAAAATGATAGAAACTAGGCCGAAACACGAGATTTTACGGAAACCCAAGGGCAGTTCGAATTGAACCTTCCCTTGGTTTTTAGTGAACTGAAATTTACATGAATTTAGAGAGACATTGGGCTTAAAGCAACAGACGTGTTATCAAGTAGGATGAGTTGATTATCCTGATAGTGCAAGAGTAAGAGAACGCTTTGATCTAAACATTCCAGACTAGTTGCATTTGGCTTCCGTCACGGTCTGTTCGTCCCAGCATGCACGGATACGAGGTGAAAGTTAATCGATTTCATTAGATTACACGTGTAGAACACAATACCAACGCTTGGTAATGATGGAATCTATATTTAAGACTTTGCTGTTGATGTGTCTTTCGTGATAGCGGGTCTGAAGACGATGTTTCAAGGTAACGCAAACCACTGAAACTCAGGTAACAGTATGGTTATTTTAGGACCACTTAGAAAGCCACAGAGTATTTATTCGAATTATTAAGGTTACGTAAACAAGTTTGGCGTTGTGGTGACTAGTAGCGTTCCATGCCAGTTGCCTATCGTACTCCATACTGGAAAGCAATATGGACACTATCAAACGCAATAGATCTCTTACAAAATTATGTGTTGATTTGAGATTTGTTCTATTGCCGCATGAAACCAGGTCAATGCACCTTAATGGATCCCTGCTACAGATTGGACCACTTTAACCACACACAACGATTGACCATTGTTGATTAGGGATCACTATATATATATATATATATATATATATATATATATATATATATATATATATATATATATATATATATATATATATATATATATATATATATATATATATATATATATATATATATATATATATATATATATATATATATATATATATATATATATATATATATATATATATATATATATATATATATATATATATATATATGCTGGCACAAGGGTATCTAATAAGGTACATCCTCACTTGAAAGCTGGTGAGGCCGCTTTCAATATCCTGTACACCAAAGCCAACTTCTACTAGTTGGGTCATCATCATCGACAGCGTGACATCAGTGTTCAACACTGATGCTTCACTGGCGTACAACCATGATACTAGTTGGGTTTTCACGATGATTACCACAACCACCATACACAATGCTCAAACTCGTTGTCCAGAATTTTCGTGGTTTGCTGTTTGTTTAGACCGTGAGCCTGACTCAGTCATAGAGCCTAACTGACTTGACAATCCGCCTCTACTGTTTCTTAGGACTGCGCTGTGGTCATGCATTCCACTGACGCCATTGGTGAGCAGTCCTTTTATTATTGTTGTTAGTGTGAAACCGCGTTTGCTTTTCACATGCCATGGTCACTGTGATCAGGACAGTATTCGCAAACCGATTGCAATTGCTGATGTTCATAATAAGCAGTATCATCCGGATACGGAACCCAACTCCTTTAAGAATTTCGTACCTGTGATTGAAGCTCAATTTCTTTTCCCCAACAATAGATTTCCAAGTCGTTAAATTGGATTTCACTGAGGAGAGTTGCCGGGGACTCTCGATTCACGGACCGCTTGCAGTCACTAAAAGATTTGAGGTAGGTTAGATTCGTTCCAGTTTACAAAGACCTCCAGCAAACTCAATCCTCTTTTGAAGGTTTCTCCGTACTCACCACCCGCAGACGTGTCTTCACGAATCCACTCAATTGCATCTCGCCTTCTAGATGTCAGCGTGTTTGAACCTTCCTACAAATTCAGATCCAGCACAGAGAAGTTTCGGGTAGGCACTCATTTATATTATGTTCTCATTGCTACTTCAGTTCCTTACCGCATGCGCTGAAGAGTTTCATCACCCTGTACTTAACAGTTACCTACACGAGTTGTGTGATCTTTCAGCAGTAATTGAGTACTACAAAACCCCTGTGGAGTCTCCTGATGCCCTCTATCGACTGTCTGAGCGCGTCGGCGATGACCTCCCAGCTAATCTGTGTATACAAACTGAACCCATCCGTTTTAACCCGAATGATACTTCATTCCTCAAACGGACCGCTTTTCCTGGTAGTTCGAACATCGTCAGTGGACTGGCAACCTCGAAGCGTTACAAAGGATTTCGAGCTCCTGCGGCCAGAAGAATTGGAATCGGCCATGAAGACCGCGTATAGTGACTGATAAAATAATTTGTTTGACTTTACGAAATACACCTTCTCGTTCCAGTTTTTCATCTGCTTGCGTAGTGTTGTGCGGGTGTTTGCTTTAGCCACTTTTTGTTGCGTATTATCTGTTTCCTATCTATGTCACCAGGCTCCTGATCCTAAAATTGAACTAGACAGACATGCACCGTTGGTGACATCAGTTTAACTGTAATTGATCCTCGGTGTTGTTCCATTTGTGGTTTGTTTTGTGTGATATGATCGACATAGAGGACAGAGAGGTCGCCTCACGCTCGGCCACATGTTTTTTCAACGTGTTCAACAATGGTTGTGCAGAGACCTCCAATTTTATAGCGCTGCATAGTGCACCTTCCGCTGACATCTGAACTCGGCATCCCGTGGCAACTGACTTCAGATATTGCCGTTGTGCTCTCTAGTGCCTTAGTGATCTCGTCGCGTTCAGTTTATGAGTTATTGTATCCCCAAGAAACAGAACAGACCTTACCTAAAGCTGCCACTTTAGCCTCAGTGCTGCAGTGATTCTGCGCGATACACTCGCTGGAACACACTTCCTCACGGTTCAATAATACCACAAAGATCAACGGGGAGTAGCCCGACGAACAACAGCCATTCTTCCTACTGCCAGAAATCGTCTTACAAGGTGGCCTGGATGTAAAGTTTTACTGTAATGTGTGATAGGAGCGTGAAGGCAGTAAGGTATCTGCCTCAGGAGACCAGCACTTCCATATTTATGGGAGCTACGATGATGCCCTCCTCCGAGCTTAAAAATTGTCGGTCTCAAAACCCACACATCCTTACGAACCTACGGTTGACCGTGAACGCCGACGAATTATTCTATACGGTCGAAGTACTTTTGGAACTACAAAGTCCGGTGCTCTTCAGAAGCTGCCTGCTGTGCACAGGCTTATTAGAATCCAGACAATTATGTATTAATCCTAGCGTTCTCGAGCCAAGTCAGTCCATTTGGTCAGGCTGTTCAGTTACTGGTTTCGGGAAGAGTCGAAAAAGTAACAACAACAGCCTTTTGGCTGTAAAAAATCATTCAGCCGTAGCACTTTCGGTGCTTAACTCCCATACCAGCAGAGGAAGCACGAGGGCTGGGATAGTGTCAGTTTGCCCAAGCCTAGACAGGGAAAATCGAGAGGTTGGATTCGAACCGCGGACGTTTCGGTCAGTAAATTCGCGCTATAACCACTGAGCCATCTTCAGGCAAGGAAGGCTCACTCAAAGAGACTCCAACAATAAATTTCGAACATTCCGGATGATCCAGTCAAGAGCAAGGGGAAGGGTTTCCGAACGAAATATTACATTCTCCTACTACCATCTGCGTCAAACCTTGAAATCGAAGCCTCAAGGTGAGGTACCTCAACCAAAAACCCTTCTTTGGCCTGGACAACCGGGAATTATCATTCGCTCTTACTGCTCTTCGTTCACTGACTACTTGTCGATTCGGTAATCGTTTCTTGCTACCAAAGCCTCATTCTAGCGAAGTTAACCAAAATGAATCCTTACTAACTTCAAGGGATCTGTTCCACATTATAACTTTCAATGTCCGTCCCGTGTCAGATCTGTCAACAGGCTGCGTAGGCTATGTTGCAACCACTTCGATACACTGTTTATGGACTGAAAAATTAGACTGAACTGAATTACTTGGGAAGAGTTAGTACCAAATTCAGTGAACTCAAAATACTCTCCTGGTTGCTGTCGGCCAACCGATCGTTCGAATTTTTGACTGTTGATGTTGATTTGTGGGTTTTATTGACTGACCACATTTTCCTACCCGGTCTGTCTGGTCTAGTATCTGAGGCTAGCTGACCACACCCTTACTAAAAAACCGTTCAACAAATGCCCACGAGCACCTTGGTGATAAACAGCTTCCAATGGAAGTCACATCACTTTCAGGTACAAACGGTGACTGCTCACGAGTAACTGGGTTGCTTACAAAACTCGTCAGTTTGTCTGAACTAGTCGCATGAAAGTCCATTCAATTAGTTTCTTTAATTGCCTGGTTGCTGCATTGTGAATGCGTGTTGTACTGAAGAATGACATCTGTTTTGCTCCAAACTTGTTTCATATTAGTTCACATTTGTTCATGTTCCTTTCCACAGCTCATCTTTCCCATACCTTATCACTGTATTCGAGGCTACATTTTTCCCCATGAAGCTCCATTTAGAGTTTGGAGGTGGCGCAGAGCTTTTATTTGGCAAAGTCAAAGAACATTTTGTGGATGTTCCTTCTTCGGTCGTTAACCTGAAAGATTTACTTTGTTGGTTGCGCGACAATTTGTTGCAAGAAAGGCCAGAATTATTCCTCCAAGCCGGCCACATTCGTCCTGGTATCCTTATTTTGATCAATGACACGGACTACAGTCTCCTAGGAGAATATGATTATACATTGAGCGACTCAGACAGGATTGCCTTTATTTCCTCCCTTCATGGTGGTTGACATGTCTTGTGAACTATTGTACTATTGCGTATAATTTTTGTACAATGTGATACTTTTCATAAAGGCAATAAAACTACATGCAAAGATGAAGTTGGTGGAACATAATTACGGATGCATTAGATTCTCTCGCGTGGTATCACTATTTTTCAGGAAAAATCGTCCAAAGCTCCTCCAGAGTATAACCTTCTGGTAGTGGTTCGATAGCGACTCCGAGCTCTTCGCTGTAGATGGGTCTATCTCTTGTAACCTTCGGGTCTTCGGCGAGGTAAAACTGATGCAAATTAGATATAGAGTTTGGACATGTGTAGATAGATGAACGCAACATTTAGGCAAACAAACAAGTCTTTCCTTAATTTGGTTAAATCGAATGCTGCAAGGGAATCTTAGATCTATAAACACGTGATCCGCATCGACTTGAGTTTGTTGTTCCTCGGGTCTGACCGAATCTCCAGTAAGTTCTGTCGATGACCACTAACGATAAAGATTAAGTATAGGTGGTTACCATGCTATGGGATTTCGAAGAACCTGATTTGAACGCCACAATAAGGAAGTAAGACCTGATCTGAGAGCAAAGCAAACATGTATTCGGTGGTGCAGATGTATGTATAGGGTCGTACTGGAGTAGCTGGACTTGGAAGAAATATAACGTGATTTCAAAGCTTCCGTCTGTTTAACCTCTTGATATCTTGATAGGAGGTTTTCTAAAATTAATTGTGGGGGTTCTTTTACCAGATTATTGGATTTATAGCGCGTTTTCCTCGCCACAGCATAGCCTGTTATATAGTGTATACGGTTCGCGGATAGGAGGGCCAGTTACCATTGGCCAACCGTTTTGCTGGTTGGTATGGCTCGGTTCTTGTTCTGGATCCCGACACCTCATTTTTCCATCTGCGCATGGCTTGTAAACCTCAAAGGTTTAAAATCGGTGAATCATGTCTAAATATTTCGTGTCAGTACTAGTACTATACTCCCGATTGTAGACGCTGTTAGAAAAAATGGTTTCCATTATAGAACACAAATGGTGTTCAGCCGTGCCTGAGGATTTCCTCAATGTCTCAGTATCTGCAGAATTACCGGAAACCACCACAGGGTATATGTAAACTGTGGCACATGGCTGCGACATTCATGCAGCCGAGGTGTGCCACTGTGATCTACATTATTTTGTTTGAGGTCGCATATTAAGAAGTCACTATATCTTTCACTGAAGTATGTTTCATAGGCGACTTACCGACAATACATCGCCTCGATCCACCGGAGCTTCTTGTATGTCGTCGTCTGTTTCGTCCTGTGGATTTTCAACCGGATCCTTGAAAAAAAGAAGGCGATGTATGCTTTGAATCACCTCAGTACCATTACTTAAAGCCGGAGTCAATACGTTGGCCTGATTGTTGACAGCTGCATTCTGACTAGATCTCTTCATGGATAGAATACTGTTTAATCTTTCATAACTTTGCCCTATCGAACTGGCAGAAAACGTGTCCTAGCCCTAGGAATTAGCTGTGTCTGCTGTCTTATTCTAGAATCAACAAGGCCAGGTCCAAAGGGATAAAAAATGTTCGGTTGCAAGATATACAGTGCCATTGTAGAAGGCACTCAACACCGTGCCTTTTGGCACCCTAGACACGCCAAGTCATTTGAAGGAGCCGAGTGTCCATTCCTCTGTTCAGCTTAGAGAGGAAAGCCTATGGGGCTAGACAGTGTGTGCTTTTTCGGCAAATCAGTCTTCTTTTTTTGACATGTCTCACGGTTTAGTATGCGCTTCACATCTGCAAAGCGTGAAGTGATACTGCAAGACTGGGTAGGCCAGAATCCTAGCCTCATGCTTGCAAATGAGCCTGTTGAGAGAGTGAACAAGTTTGTCTACTTGGGCAGCTGTATCAGTCCCGGTGGTCCCACGAACTATGAGATTTCCATCTGTGTACGGAAGGCCAGAGCAACTTCTCTGAACCTGCGCCACCCGTGGCGTGGATGTAACATCAACTTATTCGTCAAGGGTCGAGTTTACAAAACTGCGGTGCAATCCATATTGCCATACGGGCCAGAAACCTTGCCTCTGCGCGCCGAGGACGTTAAAAGACTTTCAGTGTTTGACTATCGATGTCTTCAAAGCATTGCTCAAGTCTGGTCGTAACACAGATAAGTAATGCTGGAATACGTCGAATGGTGTTCGGGAGAAATAACTCACCAACGATAGATGAGCTGATCACACTGGGTGGGTTGCGCTGGCTTGACCAGTCGACCGACTTCCTCTGAGGTTTCCTTTTTCAGAATCACGCGAAGGGTGGACACGAGCTAGGGGAGACCAAACAGTTAACTTGGCGGCGAAGTGTGAAAGCCATTACCAGCAAACTCAGCTGCGCTGGTCATTGCCTTCTCCCTGGATGGGGACCCCGAGATGGGCCTCATCAATGGTTACAGACATTATCAAACATGGCCCAGTCGAGCCGTCAATGACACTCATGCATCCAAGCTATCGTCTTCAGTGCACGCCTCGCTTCGCAGCTCTCCCTACTTAAACGTCCACTTGCAGCCCACTTGCACTAATTTATCAGCTCCCGCCCCCAGTGCCCAGCGACCTCCCCTACCTCCCCAAATCATCGGTGGACGCAACTGTTGCAGTTATAACCACTGTACGACAAGTACGCAGTTCTTTCAGCTGATAATGATGATGACGATATTGTTTGACTCAATAAAGCGCATCGATGGTATGTCTATAAGGGTGAGGTTCGTGTGACTAGTTTAACTTGGCTGAAGCTACGCAAACGCAAAACCATTTGGCGTTGTCCTAACCCACTCATATAGCATCAGTGTCTGAAACGATATGTGAGAATTTTGGTGCACAGTATATGCTAGCACTAGGTCCCCTACTCCTTTTTGTCTCCCGACTAGCAACTTTTTTCTCCGAATTGCATACTTCTGTGTATTTGCCATGCTGACTTTAGTGCCGATTTTATTGTCATCAACGAAACTTAAAAAAGTTCTAGATAGCTTCTGCAGCTTGGAAGTGGGCTGAATGAGTGGTTCACTGTAAAGAGGTATGTCCAAACGACACGAAACATTCGTTGACTTGAATCAGAAAAGTTTCAGTGCACACATGTATGTATATTTTTAGGATCCCGTCGCGAATACGTAATAAACCATCATGCGAACACAAATAAAGGACCTACCTCATGTTCTTCGTTGCTTAATTCTCCTCCGAACAGGGGATTTTTATCGTACAACTGCCGCAGACTGATGATTTGCTTCTGAATATCTGTCAGCTTGTCAATGGGGTCGGTTCGAAAACCCAGAAGATAGCCTCCGCACTGAACAGAATGCAGCGAGACAGGTTGCAGTGGTTTTAGACATTCGAGTATTTGATTGACATTAAATTCGCTCTTTGTGACTTTTCTTTAGAGTAGCCAAAATACTGTACAAGCCTCCGATAAGTTGCCCTTCCCCAGGGAAAAGATTGCTATTGTAAGCTCTTGATTTCTGGATGTGTAAATGGCCGTCTCATAAAAATGCACTCCGGATGCTTTGGGTTGGGTAGGTTAGCACAGTTTTTTTTGTCTCCTCCCATTGTAGCGAAGTTGCTTGGAGCAACTCTGAGCACCATATTTGTTTCAAAATGATGCACTGTGAACGGATCTGATTACAAAGTGCAGTCAGGTGTCTGATTTACCTGACCAATAGGACTTATTAATTAGAACGTTATTTTGGGCAGATTGTGTCTGACCCTTATTGGTCCTCTTAATGAGAGCCAGATGCTACTCCTAACTTGCATGTCATGTACACCTGTCTCGGAGAGCGCACTTTAGGTCTCATTTTGTCAAGACATCTCTGAGAGAACTAAATATGGCTCTCCGTGAGTCCCAAAGCCGATGGTTTGTTTCTTTTTCATGAAGCTGGTGATCAGTGGCTGAACTCTTGCACTCGTGGACGGTTGAGCTGTCTAGGAGTGTTTGATGCATTTGCCATGTGTGTTTAGTGTATGAAATCCTAAATTTTGTTTCAGAGGGGCTTGATAAACAATCGGCAGTTTTTTAAATTGGGTAACGTTATGCTTTTGACGCAAAAGCTTCAGGCCCAGTATCAAAAGCGAAACGTTGCCTAATTAAAAACTACCGATTGTTCACCAAGCCCTTCCGAACGAGTAACTTCTCAATCGGTTCTAAACCTTTTCCAGTCCTAAATTCTGGTTTACGCAGCATTGAAATATTCAGGGAAAGAAGCTGAAGATGCTGTTGATGGTCTCATCAACATGTTTGAGTGCTGATAAGAGCGAAGAGATGGATTAAAACGGATTTGCACCACGTTTCAAGTCAACTGGAAGGACGTAGGCGGCTACGCTGGCGGGACAATTGGATCTACCTTCAAAAAGAAACCATCTTAATTCTGATTGAATATACATGCCAACACGAAATTATCTTCGTGAACTGTTGAACATACGCACTTCAGCTTCTGGATTTCGGATTCATCAGAAGGTTACAATATAATTTAACCGAGCACTCATCGATAACAACAATAATATTGACAGTGAAGGTAAAGATTGGCGAACAAAGCGTGTTCAGGTAGTAGATGGTGAACATTTGTGCTCTGAATATGACAGTCGCCACAGTGGTTCATTGAACCAAAGGATCCTATCGAAGTCATCCAACAAGCATTTTAACCACGGTTCTGTATTCAAGCAGGTATGCAATAGACGAATCTACAATGCGGAAAACCGTCGTGTGCAAGCACCTGGATAAACAGGCATACGGAACTGACACGCCTAGCTGATAGGATACATATAACCTCAGAGAAACTTTTTCTTAAACTCGAGCGAAATTTAGCGACTGTTTGGCTGGCACAGGCCGCTATTATCTACACAAACGAGAACGCCCTCTGAAAATTCTCATCAGGTTTGTTGTCTGCATGTCCTGTCGAAGACAACTGTTACCCAGCGCTGTTATCCTCATTTGAATGTAGCGTGACGTTTAGTGAGGCAGCATCAAATTAATGCTGTGGAAAAGTAGCTCATCCAAATATTGTTTTTAAAAAAGGGTTACTTTCGGCCAGAGGAGAATCCTCTTCCACGAGGACATCACTTTTGTGAAATTCAACTCCTCATCTACTAAAACCGTATTCAGGAGTCGGAAACACAAAAATAATAAAACAACAAACGTTTCAGTAATCCTCACCTGTTTAGAAGTTTCGACTGCGAGAGCTTTTCCAAATTTCGAATTCTGTATTTTTATAGAATTCTGGAGCATAATAGAAGTTATTCAAATATCTACCTACCATGTGTAGATATGGAAGGCTGATGTTAAGGTTAGCACTTACGCTTGAGGTCCAAACGACTCGAATACTGGTTATGTACAACCTTCCCAAATTACCCTCGAATGTGAACACGTTTTCGCTTAATTAGGAATGGCTGTTACCTGATCAGTCGTCAGGCTCCAGACACCGTCCAACTCATCGTACATCCGTTCGCCGGGGAGCAATATTAGCTTCATGTTTTCCAGTAGACATGCACGTAGTCTCAGTTCTCTGTAAAGGCGGCTTGAATCGTAAGCTCTTTCAGGAAATTCAGTTGTTCAAACTTTTACCATCCCTACTTGTACACGGATAGTAATATGGCGAACAGTTGTACATTTTGTTTTGTCAGAGGGGTGAATATGAATTCGTAGCGAGTGCCAAAAGATCTCGCAATTATATGCAGAGACTCCAAAGAACCCCTCGAAATCTGGCGCACCGATTTTAAGGCAAAGTTGCATATTTACAGATTGTGTAGATTTCTTATTAATGTTCATAACGCAGCTATATCCGATAGCTTTAGAACATGACTAGCGAACTTTCGAAACTTACAAAGGTTTATCCCCTGTGTGTTCTCCGCTACCCATATCAGACGCAGATTGGTTATTCTTAGTGTACCTGATCGAACCAGTCAAGAGCTGGGCTTCTCACCTTTACCACCACTATTGCCTTTTGTATCTTCCACGGGATACATCTTTTCGATAAGTGTTTCTCCGGCTCTTAAGTTGAGGTCTCTACCCCCAACGTCAAAACGGATGATGTTATCTTGCCAAAGGGCGTCCAGTTTGTCCATGTTCGAACTGAAAAATAATTACAGGACGTTATTAGGTTCCTTAAGAACAACTGACAGAGGTGAACAAGTTTTCTATGAGGCCACTGAAGTAATTTTTCTTCGTGTGTGAATATGTGAAAAACTGTGTAGAATCGTCCGGGCGAGATACACATTCACTACCTGGCTGCTATGCAAAGAGTGATTTCGGTGAAACGGTTCCGTCCTGATTTTTTTGTTTAGAGGGTTAATAAGGAATTACGGGTTTTGTGTGAAACGTAAATCCTTCTCGAGTGCAAGGATTATTTCACAGGCTTGGGTTCATTGACGTAGCCGACGTTCCGAAATCTCTTTTGGCTCCGGCCTTATTCAGCCCAATCCGTAGCCCATTAAGCCTTTTTTCATGCGTACCCTGAATTCATAAAGCGACACGTGAATTTTGACTAGACGCATAAATTGTTGTTGCATGGTGTGGGGAAGTCTACCTAGGATATCCATTTTTCATGAATTACGCCGGCCCCGTCCTGGGATTTGTAGCCGATTTCACGTGTGCAGAAATTCAAAAACATTACGTTTCCTACATATAGTTGGTGAACCGCTAATAAGGTCATTCCGAAGTGATTTCAGAAATCAATATTTCTCATACTATTTCTTATTTAACGTTAACATCTTTGCAAACACATGCTATCCGTCCAGCATCCGATTCTTAATATTTCTTGATTCCCGACCTATGGCCGCGATATCGATGGTCGAGAAAGTGGATGCTTTTCCTGAGTGTGCAGTTACCACTCCGGCGTCTATCGATCCGTGAAACCTAGCAGGTGTACAAGCTAAAGTTCTTACTCTATTATATGTCCACCCTCGTCGACGCGCCGCACTCTGACATACGTACCTCAATTAACTGAATAACTCAGGGCCTCGTGTGGCTTCGATGCATTGAGGTGGTTCGATGTACTCGAGGTGACATGACAGTCTAACCCTCGCTTTAAAGATGAACATATATACCTGATTAAACTCTTAACTTTGGCCACAGAGCCACTTACCACCTGAACCACAGGAATGGTATACAGGCATGTATGGTCTTTTTCCTCTACCCAGTCGCTTATCACGAGCTGTCTGATGCCTAGTGTTGTGTACCACAGTTTAAGTGACTAGTCCTTATTCGAAGTTCGCTCTCCGTGACCCAATATGCAGGAGATTTCAGGCCCGCGCGAACAGCGATATACTGATTGCCAATTCGGCAAACTGGGTGTTCATAGCGTCAGCTTGAAACAACACTCAGGATGAACTACAACGTATACTGGCGAAAGTTCTGGCTATTGGTCTTACGGAACACGGTGAAGACCGATGTGCATTCATTCACTACGGGGCCTTACAGCTGCCGTATTCGATTACCACTAGAACCAGTTGTTTCGAACTTAACCAGATTGTCCGTGGTTTGAACCTAACCACGTGACCTCGACTATTCCTGCGTATGCTTAGGCAACCTGGGAGTGTCTCGGCCCTTATGCTTTCCTTCGGCTAGCACAGAAATTAGTCATTGAAAGCTTGTTTGGCCTCAATAATCATCACCACTATATTCTGTCTACCAAATTTACGTCGGCCGACGAAACTCATCCCGACCAAAACAGGGGAACATAACCTCTTCATATGTATTGTCGACTCTTTGTGTGCCGATTCTCACGTATCTGTTCAAACAGAGATCTTGCGACGAGCTCTTAAAACCACCTCACTTAACAAATGTTGTTTTCGTCCCACTGAAGCAAAGTGGTCATGATAAGCAAAGATTTGAAAATAAGTGTATTTCTCGAAATCTGCCCAATTTGGGTTCAGGTAGAACATAAGGTTGACAGAATCTCAGGTGCTGCTTCTATCTGATGAACTCCAAGAAGGGCAAACCGGTCGTGGGCTGTCGAAGAGTTTTTAGCAACCTTCTGAGCAGTTTCCTTTATGAAAAGATAGGATGCATTCTACAGTATCGGCTGACCGGCTGAGTTCAAGATCTTCCGAGGTTACCGATACAGCTTTGGCAACGTGTCCTGTCCACCAACAGTCTTAGATATGCATATGATACACTGCGTTTAGAAAGCTCCACTCATTGTCCGTAGAAGCAGCCGGGCCACACACTTCAAAAGCTTGTGCGTTTTGATCCTGGAAGGCGAGTAGCACCGACAGCACCCAAGCGTTTCGTGATCTCCTTCATACTCCTCCGCCAAGTCAAGGGTTGGCCACCTCTCTGTTTACGCCACTCCGAGTTGGACATGGAAAACAGCACTCTCTTCGGAAAACGACGGTTCGGCATACGTAACGCATGTCTCAACCAACGCAGCTTCTGGCGCTGGACACATTCTTCAATGGAAGTACCCGTTACACAACCAAAAACACGCTTTCTAACTGCTTCGTTACGGATTCGCCGACACCAACCCACGCGAGCTATGGTTCTGAGACAACGATTGTCGAACACCTGAAGACGTCCCCGTTCCGCTGCTCGAATAGGCCAAGTCTCACAGCCATACAACAAGACAGCCCGTACTGTAGCTTGATACACACGTCCCTTCAGATTCAGGGATAAACCATTCTGACGCCATAGGTGTCTCAAGTTAGCAAACGCGGCCCGAGCCGTGCAGATAAAAATAAACAGCTAGCGGGAAATGCGCCAGTGGTGTCGGGACATTTTAGGCGTCGCAAGACATCCTAATAGTGTAGTGTTAAGAAATCAATTATAATTCAGGAGTTCTAATTTTGAACTCAGCGGCTTTGATGAAGTCGTAGAACGCTGGGGTAATGTTACTCAGACATCAATGAATGACGATGAAACCCAGCTGGGCTTAACATAACGTTTGATGTGATCCTGGAAAGATTGATTGGCAATCTTCGCTATAGTTTTATACCGGATAGAGATGGGGCTACCAGATCGGCAATTAATGAGGTCGTGCTGTTTACCGTCTTCTTAAGCCGTATGGATGACCGCCTGCTTCTATGGGGATGGGCTGCAATCGGAAGAATATACGGAGGAAAATAGTGTGGAGTTGGTAGTAGCCGAAGCACAGTTGTGTTCTCTGAGGATAGGACGACGTTTTAGCTTGTTCAGCTGGGTTATTAGGGTCGGTTTACAGATTTGTGATTACGTATGAAAAACCGCACCATACCTGGTGTCGCTGTGAAGCAGGTATTTGGAGGACATAAGGTAGGTGCGTATGTTGTACAATATCCTCCATAGGTATTTGGCGAGTGTTTTGCATCCACTTTTGGCGACAATGAGGTCTCTGCGGAGATGTATAGGTTGGAGAAAAAGGGTTACCAGGGCTGACAACTTCGGAGTCACTGGTATCCTAAGAGAATCAGGTTCTGGTGAGAAAAACTATGTGGAGTTTAATACCTTGAGTTCTTTCTCATAAGAGAGTCTGTCAATAATGTTAACGTATGTGTATCTCAGAGCCAGTTTGTCCGGTTGCCTGATTCATGGAGATGGTCGTTTGGGAAAGCAGATCAATCACTGGGGAAATTCCAGAATGTTGCAACTGAGTGAGTTTTGTAATGGATACTCCATTTTAGACTTGAAGAAAATGGGGATATGGCCTTATTCTCGCAAATTAATGACTAACGATGAACCTTCGGTTGGGAGATGGATCGCATGAGTTCACTACATTCTCCCAATGTATTTTCGTGATCACAATCGTGACTCGGTTAATTAATTACCCGGGTTAACAGCCTATGCTGCATGCCTGTGATCAGTTCAATTGTTTGAAAGCAGTTTCAAGCACAATATCGCGTGCTACTGACAGTATTTTTTCTGGAGTATTCTATACCACCATGCCCGGTTAAAAGGGTGGATGAGGGATTTTAACAGCGATGTATGAAAGAAATCAAGGTCAGATAACCGGAGGATAACTGACCGATGGCCGCCATAAACGAAATCTTAAGACAAGTTCTGTCCGTAATGTGACCCGTAGGCCAAGGTAATGTGCGACGATTTATAATGACGCTGAACCAATGGGCCGCCTCTAAAGTTTTCGCTATAAACAGAGCATAGCTCACTAAAACAAAAAACAGTTTCAGATTTGCGTTCAGGTTCTTCCGAAAAATGTAATACCTAAGAATTTTTCAAGACATTTCTGTTAAACGGATAACCGTGTTTTCGAACTACATTCCGCACACGGAGTTCGTGCGACATGGCAGTCTAGTAATTACATGATCCACGGGGTTACTTAGAAGTGTGGATCTAAATTGTGTGAAGATGAACAGGGGATTAAAGGTACCTAAATATGGATCAGTAACATTCTGACACCGATCATTTTCACGATACAACGAGAATGTCCCTGTCTCATCAATCATGATGCCGCAAATTGAATGTGGCATCTAGCAATGTGTAATTCAACACAGATATTTGTGAATTTGCAACGGATTGATATGCAGGATCTAAGTTTTCGCCCAAGTTTCTCGGGTCCGGCTCGTTCATGCCGTTTGGAGGGATCCGTTCATTTGAAGGACAATTGGGAAATGTAGTACTATTCTCTAATTCTTCAGCGTGGGAAATTGATTTTGTCAGCGCTAGAATTCACATGATAGAGTGTCTAAAATTACTTTAACATGGATAGCAGAGGAATCAAGAACCTTCGGATAAAGGCTATTCCACGATCAGCTACCCAAAATGAGAAAAGCTGTCACCGGGTAAATTTGCGTGCTTTGAGGTCGAAAACTTTCTTATCACTTCCTCGCCGCGTGTTGGCTTTGTCAACAATGAAAAAGGTGTCAGATCCTTGTTGAAACAGGGCACAAGTAAGTCTGTTCGGAGGTAACTATCCTCCAGGGAAAGGAGTTCAAGCCCACCAAGACGCGTTTCATAGGAAAGGGTTACATTTTTTTTGCTGCTGTGAATTTCCGAAAAATTCCTCCTCTGTTTATACTATTCACAGAGTTAGCACGTGTCATTTTTTGAATTGTTCCCACCACCATAATCTGTGCGTGAAAATCTTAGCCACACTGTGCTCCATTCCCGCGTTGCACTCACTCACCCCCAGTAACAAGGGC